CTGAGGCGGAGGGCCGAAATTCGGGGAGACGTAAGGCTCGAGTTCGGAGGACTCGAATTGGCCTGGCGGGACGGTCAGAAAAATCACAAGACCCAATCTGATATTTGACGCGAACTCCCGCTGCAAACATCCCGCGAAAACTTGGCCGTTGAAATTCAGGACGGACCAGTCAAGAAGCATCGGCAAACCTGGGTTCGGGCGAACTCAATGCTTATGTTCCCCCGACAAATCAGAGCAAGGCCCGCTACGTACTGAATCGGCTCGACGGCGCTATGTCGCTATGTCACAGATCAGCAGGAGGGGGGGAGAAGAAGGAAGAAGGAAGGGAGAGGGGGGAGGGAGAGAGAAGGGAGGGGGAGGAAGAGGGGGGAGGAGTGAGGCGAGAGCAGGGATGAGTCATAGGAGGGAGGAGGGAAGGCGCTGTGAACGAGGATCGACGAAACCGTCGAAATCGGCCACGTCGCCAAGCGAGGCGTTGCTTCCGCCCACGCCGATCACGCTGCCTCGTCCGCGAAATGACCTACGGCCTTCAGCCTACTTGAGAGTGACGTGCGTCGGCCAAAAAACTGCTCCCGGGTGATGGGAAGCCACTCCCCCCTCCTCCTCCTCCTCCTCCTCCTCCTCCTCCTCCTCCTCCTCCTCCTATTCCTCATCCTCCTCCTCCTAGTCATCCTCCTCCTCATCCTCTTCCTCCTCCTCCTCCTCCTCCACCCCCCGCCTCCTACTCCTCCTACTCCCCTTCCTCCTCCTGCCGCTATTATTATTCCTTCTCCCCCTCCGACTCCCTCCTCCTCCTCCTCATCATCCTCCTCCTCCTCCTCCTCCTCCGCGTCCTCCTCTTTAGTCGTATCATTATAATATCCGTGCCATGCTTAATACTGTCATTGGTAACGTTAGCATTGATATATATATATATATATATATGTTGTTATTATTAACAGTGCTATCAGTATTACTGTTAGCATCATTGGTAGCATTAGTACTATCACGATGAGCCTTAGCATTAGTGTTCGTGTCATTCGTCTGTGTACATCGAACTGTGTCATAAATTTCATCAATAGTACTAGGACTCGTATTAATCAAAAATTACGATTAACAGCATTAGTATTGATAGAAGTGCAATTGCTAGTATTAAACGTATCATGTACATTAGGCGTGGGCATACTGATAGGAGCAGCGGTTTTATTGTTGACAGTTTTAACATGGCTGATACTATTCGTATGTGTATTAGCCGTGGTAGTAGTAGTAGTTGTTGGTGTAGTTGATGTAGTCGTAGTAGTAGTAGTAGTAGTAGTAGTAGTAGTAGTAGTACTAGTAGTAGTAGTAGTAGTAGTAGTAGCAGTAGCAGTAGCAGTAACAGTAGCAGTAGCAGTAGTAGTAGTATTTGTAAAAGTAGTAGTAGTAGTAGTAGTAATAGTAGTAGTAGTAGTAGTAGTAGTACTAGTAGTAGTAGTAGTCGTAGTGGTAGTAGTAGTAGTAGTAAATGTAGTAGTAGCAGTAGTAGTAGTAGTAGTAGTAGTAGTAATAGTAGTAGTCGTAGTAGTAGTAGTAGAAATAGTAGTAGAAGTAGTAGTGGTAGTGGTGGTGGTGGTGGTAGTTATAAAAGTCTCACGGCCAATCGTAGTATTACTAGCACTATTGCTATGAGGACTATGCTAATTCGCATGCTGCTTATCTCGATTACCCCCATCAGTACCATCAATGTCGGTAGTATTCGTAGTATCCGTCTTATCACATGTTTATTCTTACGATTCGTAATATGATTCTTGGTGTGTCCTCCTCCTCCTCTTCCTCCCTCCTCCTTCTCGTCCTCCTCATCCTCCCCTTCTCAGAATCGCCTCCTCTTCCTCCTCATCCTCCTCCGCCTTCTCCTCATCCTCCTCCTCATCCTCCTCCTCCTCATCCTCCTCCCCTACCTCCTCCCCCATGCGCCTCATGCTTCTCGGCCTCATTATCATCCGCCTCATCCTCATCATCATCATCATCATCATCATCATCCATCAGCTGCAGCATCATCATCATCATCATCATCATCATCGTCCTGACTCCCCATCCTCATGATCCTCGTCAGCAGCAGCATCAGCAGCATCATCCTCATCATCATCAGCAGCAGCATCATCAGCATCACCATCAGCAGCAGCATCATCAGAATCATCATCACCATCGCCATCATCATCATCATCATCATCATCATCCTAATCATCATCATCATCATCAGCATCAACGTCATCAACGTCATCATCGTCGTCGTCATCAACAGAAGCATCAAAATCATCAGCATCATAACAATTATCATCAGCATCAGCATCATCATCATTATCAGAATCATCCGCATCAACAGCATCATCAACAGCATCCGCATGAAAAAATCAGCTTCAGCATCAGCAGCAGCATCAGCATCAGCATCATCATCAGCAGCAGCAGCGAAGGTATCATCATCATCAGCATCAGCATCAGCATCAGCGTCAGCATCAGCATCATCAATATCATCAGCATCAGCAGTTCAGTTCAGTTCAGTTCAGCCTGCTCGCCGGCTCCCGTAGGAGCGGTCCTCTGAAGGGCAGGCGGCACTCAAAGCGTGAAACTACATGCTCCGCGCCGGCTCACAACAACTCTGCAATCACACTACTCTGCATGAGCTGCAACAGTATCCCTCCAGCGAAGATGAGGCCGGCCAGGACGCCGTTTGGGTAGGCATCTGAACCACGGGCTCCACTGGAGCAGTCTGCGACTCCACTTCTGCGGGTCGTCGCGCGACACTGCGTCCCTGAGGAGCATCAGCAGCATCATCATAATCATCATCATCGTCATCATCAACAACATCATCATCAACATCCACATCCTCATCATCATCATCATCATCATCATCATCATCATTAGCATCCTCATCTCATGAGCATCAGTTCCAGCATCAGCAGCAGCAGCATCATCATCAACAGCAGCAGCATCATCATCAGCAGCATCATCAGCAGCATCATCCACAGCATCAGCATCATCATCAGCATCATCAGCATCATCAGCATCATTACCACCATCATCATCACGATCATCAGCATCATCTTCATCAGTCTCATCCTCCTCATCATCTGCATCAGCATCATGCATCATCATAAGCATCATAAGCGTCGTCGTCATAATCAAAATCCGCATCCGCGTCATCAACATCATCATCATTCACAGCATCACCAGTAACATCATCAGCATCAGTATCATAATCATCATCCTCATCATCATCCTCACAATGAGCATCATCAACATCATCAGCATCAGCAGCATCATCACCACCATCATCAGCATCATCATCGTCATCAGCCGCACCATTATCCTTATCGGCATCCTCATCATCAACAACAACATTATTATCATCACCAGCATCATCATCATCATCATCATCACCAGCATCATCATGAGCATCATCAGCATCAGCAGCAACAGCATCAGCAACAGCATCGTCAGCATTAGCATTATAATCAGCATCAGCAGCATCAGCAGCATCATCATCACAAGCATCATCATCATGAGCAAAAGCAGCAGCAGCATCAAGAAGAGCATCACCATCATCAGCAGCATTAGCATCATCATCAGAAGCAGCATCATCAGCCTCATCACCATCAGGAGCAGCATCATCATCAGCACCTTCATCATCACCAGCAACATCAGCATCAGCATCATCGTGATCATGGAGATCAGCAGGAGAATCAGCATCATCATCATCAGCATCGTCATCGTCATCGTCATCCTCAGCATCACCATCGGTCTCGTCATCATCGCCGTCAACAAGAACAGTGACGCCCACTACTGAATCATCAGCAACAACAGCAGCAACAGCAACAGCGACCACAACAACCACCAAACCACAACCCGACTGCAACAACAGCAGCAGAAACCGCAACAACCCCGACAACAACGAAAACAACAACAACAACAACCGCAAGGACAAGAACAACAAAAACAATCACAAAAAAACAAATACAACAACATCAACAACAACAGCAACAACATCAACAGGAGCAGCGGCAACAACAACAAGAAGAACAACAACAGTAACAACAACAACAACAACAATAACAACAACAATCATTTTACCCGAACGCTCAGTGTTCTCCCCAGTGCCAGGGTTTTCTTGCGACACCAGCCAATACCCCCACTTCGTGGGGGGGCCGTTCAAGCTCTACCAAATATCCAAACGACTCTTCGAGACCACCCACACCCAGCTTCCCGCCCTATGACGTTGGGACACTTCACTTCGTGGCGTGCGGACGACCCTGGCTACTACACTGGCGTGGGGTACACACCCACAGAGGTTGATCACATCTGTTACATATGATGTGGTACACGGTACACGTGAGATGGTACGCAGTGCCAAGATAGTTGGTCACATTTTTGGGGCAAATTCGTGGGGATGCGATTACAGAAGTACATGTGTTACACTGATGTTATACAGTCCCAAGGATGACGCATGCATTGCTCATAGACTCATGGCGCTATGATCCTAACTCTCAGTGCCCAACGCGCGCGTGCACAGCCAGACGGAGGGAGAGAAACACATGTATACAAGGTTCGTGACATACGCACGGTCCACCATGTTGTAAACGATCGCATGCACGGTAAGTTCTGAAATTATACGTATGTACAAGCAGACATGCGAGGGAGAAAGGGAGATGGCCATCGACAGTTCCAATACGGCTCCAAGGCGGAAGAGGGGGAGGAGGAGCAGGACAAGGAGGAAAGGAGAGAAGCGAGAAAGGAAGAACGCAGACGGCGCGGCTCTGGACACAAAGGGGTGCCATACTTTCTCCTGCTTTCGCAAACAGGTCCAGTCACACGTAGGGGTATACTCAACCGAATGGTCTTCGCATCCAGAAGCATATCTAAAGGCGCGACGCATCGTCGTCTGCGATGGCGCGGAGCGGGCGCGTGGGTGCCCGGCTGCCTGGCTGATACACGTGCGGGCCTGGCTGATACCCGTGCGGTCCCAGATGCCCAATGAGATTGCCGAT